GTGCGTTCGAACCGTCCTCCCCAAATGCCACTAGCCACGACGTCTAGGCGTGCCTGGTCGTCAGCAATAGCAGTGCGCCAGACAACTGGGTGGTGATGGACACAAACCATCAAGAGACTCGGCACTCTCATCATCAGCGACCAGCCACCACCCGGATTCGAACCGGGGATCTCCTGTTTACTAGACAGGCGCTTTAACCCCTAAGCCATGGCGGCACATGAATTCATCTCACTCCAGCCAGAAATACATTCCCGAGATCTTGGTGAAATGGGCAACGAGTTCTTGCATCATACCTGCATGATTCAATCCTTGTTTCCCACTGGGTCTCCCTCGCACCAGCTTTCTGTTGAGGGTTTACAAACCCAACAGCACTAATGAAAACAGTACCACAACTTCCTTTGAAAGTAAAGTGAGCGCGCTCATACCACGAGAACAATGGAACACTATTTTAAGATTTGAACGTCGTTTTCATGTGATTATCATCAGAAATCATCATCACACTGAGTGTTGGACTACAAAGGAAAGATACACTGTCTGTGAAGCCGGGAGTCCCGCAGGGATCTATACTGGAGCCTCCGCTGTTCTTGTTGTACATAAACTGACTGTATAGATGGTGTGTCACTATTTGCTGATGACACAGCGCTAATTCAGTTTGACTGACATTGTAAACTTGTGTACGAAGCTTCAGCATGGAAACAATGTTGTTCATAAATGGATGTTGCCTTGGCGTCTGAGACCCAATATCTTGAAAACGGAAATACTCGTTCTCCCTCAACTAGACGATCCTCCCACTTTTACCCTTCCCGGACTTGGTTCGGCTATTGATATTGTATATACGTACAGACATTTGGGTGTTGTATTTGACTTGCAATTGTCCTGGAATTCTCACGTAGATTTTTTATGCAGCAAAGTTAGCAAATCTGTAGGTTGTCTGGTGTCTCACTGCTCCCACTTGTCCTCTGAATGTATTCGTCTTGTTTATAAATGTTAGGGTTGGTTCACATATCGCCGGTACGCGCCGGGAGTCACCGGGAGTGGGCCTCTTGCAACCTCTTCCGGCGCATTGCGATTATGTGAACCAGTGCAGTCATAACAAAACCATACGGTAAAATATCGCAAGGGACCGCCAGCAAAGTTGGACAGTGCCCAACTCTTGCGGTCTGCCCCGGCGGCGATCCCGTACAATTTTGACCAAAAGTGGTTTGTGAACCGTTCGCGCCGGTGCCGGGAGGGATCGGAAGCCAGACTGTCAAAATTTCAAACCAAGACTTGTCCTAAATTTTCCTAAATTGAAGCTAAAGATGAGGTCCGTTTGCCATTCTTGTAGTCCTTTCAAGGTGGCAAATTAAGTCAGCATACCACCCCGCCTTCTCGGATGATCTGCTTGACTGTTGTGCAACTTATGAGACAAATACAATTGAAACAAAAAAATACGAAGGATACATAGACAACGCATAATTTCGACACCACCGCTTACTAGACAGCAATAAAAGGTGTAGAAGTAGTTTCATGATCTCCAGTAAAAGGTAGCACCGACTGGCCATCACCGAAAGACCTTGACCTACTGAAGAAACAAAGAATTCAAGCTTCAATTGGCAAACTTGTCGTAGCATTTGGGCACATTCTGTACTACTTTGTAGTAGATTTGGTACTCGAACCGTATGCGCAACGGATCGGGAGCTGGCTCACCGCCGAAGTCTTGCGATGTCTTGCGGCGTCGATTTTGCTTATGTGAACCAACCCTTACCTTCTTCCTATCTTTCTCTACGGCGCCGATCGCTGTCATCCGTGCTTTAAAAAGAACGAAATGGCGCTTTTAGTGACATTTCGCATACAAATCCCCATTTAGTAGGGCGCAGCCACCCAGTTTCGGTGGAAGTGGCGAGTTCGATTGGGAATAAAGGAGGAAAGGAGCGTCTCAGCTTCCTCGGACCAAGACCATTCGACTCAGCACCCCGAAGACTACAACTGGTGAACATTTGATTACTTCCCCTTTAAAGACAGTATGTGTTTTAGACTCACTTCACTCAGCTGCTATGTGGTTGGTCGGCCGGGTTCTTTTTTGTCTTCTAAGTGTGGCCAGCCATACAGGCATGCATGCATACCAAGCATGGTACGACTTCTGAGCACCAACCTGGTCTGCATAGACAACGCGAGCGCCGAGTTCTTCAAGACGCTGAGCAATGTTTGACTTTCCAGCCGCAATACCACCAGTCAGGCCGATGACGTAAGAGCGAGTCCGTTCTCGTTTCACTGCTTCACACCGAGATGCTGCAAGCACACACATACATACCCAGATAAACAGTGTTGAGTAAGTTGCGCTCATGTATAGCATTCCGGGCACACACGCGCGCGCGCACACACGTACACACTTCAAAAACTACATGGGTAGCACAGGAGTAGTGCATGAGCAATGCGTGAGTGATAGACCCTTTGTCATCTGTTACACTAGACTTCTCACTCAATGCACTGGCAACAGTACATGGACTGCAGAACCAGACCAACGGCATCAAGTAACGTTGCAGCTGCATGCAATGAAACTCTCTTTTATCCCACATCACGATGACATAGCCATTAGGCATATACTTCAAGTAAGACATTCAGTGCTTATGTCGTATACTGGTAGCAGTGACCCACTTGATCCCACACACCAGTAGTCAGGCTTGATGGGCTGCAAGCACACACGATGTACTCATAGCAAGAAAACTGAAGCCTGAAGAAATTGACATACATTCATCAAGGCTTTGCACACGTTCCCATCTCCTCATCCAAGGGTTGCGACGCACAGACTGAACCGTAGGTTGCAGCTGAATAGGACACAGAAGTGACGAGTCAAATATCACAATATCAAAGAAACTGCACCAGAGGCTAGCTGGTGCATGCATGCAATCAGCTATTCTTACCTTCTGGTGCATGCATGCAATCAGCTATTCTTACCTTCTGTAGTTCATTCATACTACATGTAGTGTAATTTTATTTTATTTTTTATTTCTACTTTATTCCCGTAGCTATGCAGAAGACGTTACTTCAGTAACGTCTGGCGCTAGCCAGGGTCCACACAGCTTTAATTCCCGTAGCTATGCAGAAGACGTTACTTCAGTAACGTCTGGCGCTAGCCAGGGTCCACACAGCTTTAATTTGGTGTTTGTTTGTTTGTTTGTTTGTTTGTTTGTGTCACGCCTGGAGCTATCCCGTATCTGTCCCGTATCTGTGACTACAAAGGCTCTACAGGATCGTACATAACAACTGGCCACAATATTGGCTGGTACCGTATCTGTCCCGTACCGTACCACCGAGCACAGCTGGCCACAAACAGCTGGCCACAATATATGGTATATGGTATATGGTTCAGTTCCAAGACTGGAGCTCGCTGAACCAATCGATAGTCGATAAGCACTGGCCAAAGAGGGACCACACTTTGCAGGCTTCGAGGGATGTATCGAATGAAGAAAAGTTGAACTGACTTGGTTCGGCAGGGATGGCAACACTTCGTGTGTCTCGCTGACTTTGTAATTGGAGTGCGGTGCGGCAGTTGAGAGGTTAGAAAGAAGTAGTGGGTGGTTGGTTATCACCAGGTCTAACGCACTGGCATGACCACTGTGTTGGGAGTAATGTGTGGGAAAAGTAACGAGCTGTGATATGGAGAGCATTTGAAGCAGACAAAGCAGTTGATGATGAACCCGCATCTGTGGTCGATCCATACCAATCCGAGCAACGAGCGTTGAAGTCCCCAGAGACGAGAAGCATGGAGTCGGGCAAAGATAAGCGTTGCAACATGGATTGAACTGAGTAAAGAAATTATTGGTTTGGCGGTGTGTCAATGATGGCGGCCTGTATCTAGGGTTCCCAGTAAAAAGGCAACGCCTGTTGGGACTCCCCTAGTAAAATAATAAAATCTACTACTACTACTACTACTGTACACCGATCCTAAATAGCGTAAGATCATAACGTGAAGCAACTTGGAAGAATGAGTATGAATGCGAAGTGTATCGGGGAATGAATGTAGAGCGATTGTGCGGGTTCGAATCCCAGGTTATGCCCTGAAATAAAAATAGGAGAATTGAAAAATTTATAACATCCCTATGCTTTTTTTGTCCAGGTCATCAAGGCAAAAAAGCATAGCGTGGGGCCCTGAGCTTCCAAGCTCTCTCGTTTGGTGTTTGTTTGTGTCACGCCTGGCGCTATCCCGTATCTGTCCCATACCGTACCGTACCAGCAAAGACAGCTGGCCACAATATTTTTGTTTGTTTGTGCCATCAGCATGCCCGGCGCTATCCCGTACCTGTCCTGTACCATCAAGAGTACGGTACCATCAAGAGAATGAGTATATATGCGAAGTGTATCGGGGAAATGCATTCAGGCCGATAGTGCAGTAGCATTTTGTGTGGATTTGTGTGCGAGGCCGAGATCCCACTGGCAGGCTGGCTGGGCCGCCTGTCGACCAGCCCGCGAATCGCATGTAGGCCGATAGCATAATAATTATAACGTATATAGATGTATGGCAGGGATTCGTATTATGTAAACGACTCCCTGCTGTATAGGGAGATTTTCTGGAAAGAAATACGAAGTAGGGAGACGAGGAAATGCAATTAGAATGGACGTTAGTTGCCGAATAGGTGACAGGATGCGTCAGCAAAAATATACTTGAAGTACTTTGGAAGAGAGATCCCGTCATCTCCAAAATAATCCTGAACGGGCGAGTCAGCGCCGGTCACAGGAAACGTCGGAAGAGAGATCCCGTCGACTCCAGAACGTCCGTGATCGGCAGAGTCAGCGCCGGTCACAGGAAACGGCAGGACAGACATCCCGTCGACTCCCGAACGCCCGTGATCGGCAGAGTCAGCGCCGGTCACTGGGGGTGTGCGGATAATGCTCGAAGAGGTGGCAGATTCTGCTCGAAAAGCAGTGAAATTGGCAGAACCATACAAACCTTATGGCGGGCAATTCCTCGAATTCTGCTCCATTTCTTTATCCACCTACCAAACATGCATGAAACTTACCAGAAAAAGTACCGAATTCTGCCAATTTTTCTGCCGGAATTATCCGCATATGCCTACCGGTCACAGGAAACGTTAGGACAGACATCCCGTCGACTCCAGAACGCCCGTGATCGGCAGAAACGAGACAGGTACGGGATAGCGCCAGGCGCAGGCCGATGGCACAAACAAACAAAAATATTGTGGCCAGCTGTTTGTGGCCAGCTGTCTGTGATGGTACGGTACGGTACGTGACAAATACGGGATAGCGCCAGGCGTGACACAAAAAAATAAAAATAAACACCAAATATTAATCCCGTAGCTATGCAACAGACGTTACTTCAGTATCGTTTGGCGCTAGCCAGGGTCAACACAGCTTTGACACGTTACATGCATGATGAGCAAGCAAAAAAGCATAGCGTAGGGCCCTGAGCTTCCAAGCTCTCTCGTTTCACCGTCCAATGGCAAAAGCCAATGCAAAGGAGGGGTGTTAGCTAGCCATGGGAGTGCGAATGGGCTATGTGCTGAACATAACATAGGCTGGCTCTGTCCCGGGGCTGCTCTGCACACACACACTAACCGTCAAGAGATCTCAGCCACAAAACACTACAGTAACCCATCATCCAGCCACAAGCCACAAGCCACAAGCTACAAGCTACAACTTAAAAGTACAAGCTACAAGCAATGTCATGACCCTTACCTGGTATGTTGGCTGTAGTCGGCCAAGATCAAGACGTCTCAAATCTGTTGAACTAAGCTTGTCATGTTCAGTTACCATAGCCAAGTCAGCAACATGAAGTTTCAGAGGTGAAAGATCCTAAGAAATAAATATACAACAACAACAATGTTTCTTTGAAACTATGATATTTGGCCTGCAAAAGCGAAGAAGGTGACTGCTCCCAATGTTGGAGCTTCCTGCCGACTGAATGACACTTGACTAAATCATGACTGTTGTGACTCAGCCAAGTCAGCCAAGTGTCAGTCAGCCGGCAAAAAGAATGAGCTCCAACGTTGGGAGCAGCCACCTTCTTCTAATACTACCACCAAAGTCGCAACTTCTCAGCTCGTAAGCAAAAGAAAAAAGGTAAAGGTAGCGAACAGTTCTCCATATTCATTTCATGAATTTTGAAGAAAGACACGTTGGTAATGTTGTGGTGAACGGCATAGTTGAGGAGGGTTGCGGCTACTTTCCATGCCACCAAAGAAATGCAATGATAATTCGAATAGCACATCTACATGCAGAAAAAGGTGTGTGAGTGCGTGTGCGAATCTATGATAGAATAAACCATACTTCCAAGACCACCTACTTGTAATTCAGACTCAGACATACTCTACTACTACTAACAACGAATAGAAACGCATACTAGTGGTACAGTATCTGAGTTGTGACATTTTCGTGTTCAGATACTGAGAAAATATTCAGTTTTTCTGTGAACTACACGACCTCTTAGCCGTGTTGATTTGCTGAGAAACACAACAACCCGGCTTAGCTACAACTACTGTTGTCCTCTTCGCATCATCCTTACCTTTTCTTTTCTGATCTTGTTGATGAAGTCCACGCCACTGGCGACTTCCGGCGTTGCCACAAGCAGCTGCAATGTTCCATCAACACCAGCTGGACCCGCTGCATCCTCGATTTTCTCTATGTTGATCTCCAGATTGCCTCGGATACGCCCCAAGAATTGCTCAAGGAAAGACTTACGGTACTCAAACTGCACAACAGAACAGAATACAACATACAAACATGGTCATCCTCCTGATCACCCTATTACAAGATTGCTGGGCCTGGTTACACACGGATCATCGGCAGAGAAACAACTGAATAATAATTTATATTATATAATTTATATTGTACATACAGTGCTCTGCTGAATCGCCTTCCCTGTGTGTTTGACATTCCGTACTGTCTTTGCTATGTTTATCTTGTTCTGTATGAAAATAATTATCATGTGCACCACCTGGGAATTTTCATCAGAGCACGATGTACACTCAGGACATAATATATTTTAAAGTTTACATGCGTAGTGAACGGGCGTCAATCTCAATGATGAGAGACATTAAGGGCGTGTTTGGTTGGTACAATCTAGAACAGGATTCAGTTTGGTTGGGACTGTGCCTGTTCTGGGTCGGCCAGAACATGTTCTACTTGCTCCGGCCTCCAGGCTGGAGCAGCCAGATTTTTACTTTTTCACAGCGTAACCTGGCGGGAACATCGATTTTGGTCCCAAATGATCATGCGCATACGCTTTTGGGTTGCACTTGGCATGCACTTGGTGTACCGTAGAAAGTGACCATGGTGACTCGTACACAATTTCACGAATTCAACCGCGTTTGACACACTTTTCACATGAACGTACTCTGTTTCTGGAGTACCGTTTGGTTGGCATGAGGTTGCTCCATGGGCACCAGCTGTTCGATCCTGTTCTAGATCGTACCAACCAAACACGCCCTAAGTGTAGCATTACAGTGGAGCTAGACATAGGTCAATCGTCACTATACACCCATAACAAGTATATTCTACGCAGGAAACATTCAGTCTAATCCTCGCTCACCGGCTGAATGATATCACCCAAAGTCTTCTTGCCTAACATCTTCGGACTGGTCAAACCAATTGTTAATTTCTTGCGGGCCAGAAGGCAGGCAGTCGCAAGGAACAGTCGATGGCCGTAATGCAAGCGATCAAACGTACCCCCTACACAGTCATAGAACACAAGTATTATTATAAGCTTCAGAAAAGGCACATACAATTCACTATGTCCAAGTAACAGCACCAATACAACAGCCATGGGTCTGCAACAATACAACATCCATGCGTCTGTAACAACAGCCATGGGTCTGCAACAATTCGGACGCGAGGTAAGTACATTTTCGCTGAAAAGGACAGTCAGAAGAAAAACAATTCTTCAAAATAAATAAAAACAACACTACCCTGGTAAAATGATGGTTTAGTGGTTTAGTGTGTGCGCTAAGCCTTGTTTACGAACACACAGCAGTAATCATGCACACCTGATCTTCAACTGATAATCCATGTGAAAGCATTCTCCGCGCACAATGTCTTTATGACGCCACACTGATTGCCTACGCAGTACACACATGTGCATCATACTCATCACTCTGCCGCGTGCTGTTCAGAAAAGTCTCTCTCACTCGCACACTCTCACTCACTCACTCACTCACTCACTCTCTCTCTCTCTCTCTCTCTCTCTCTCTCTCTCTCTCACTCGCTCACTCTCTCTCACTCGCTCACTCTCTCTCACTCGCTCACTCTCTCTCACTCGCTCACTCTCTCTCTCACTCGCTCTCTCTCTCTCTCTCTCTCTCTCTCTCTCTCTCTCTCTCTCTCTCTCTCTCTCTCTCTCTCTCTCTCTCTCTCTCTCTCTCTCTCTCTCTCTCGTCTGTCCCTAACCGTAGGCTGATCCACCTCTTCTACCACTCTGAGTCACAGCTCCTGAGTAACTGCAGGTCTGTGTTCTGATCCTGTAGCAAGCCTGTGGGTGGAATATACCTAAAAGCACGCTCACCATTACCCACACTACCCCATTGTAATCCAGGCTTACACTAGCACAGGAGTGCACGCACCAACATATCCTGTTGACTTACCCAATACGACATTGTCATACACTTTGGCCCCGGAACCATCAAACAAAGGCTGCATGAACACAAAGATACATGCACAAGAGAAACAGGCAATTTCTAGAAACGTGCATGCCTGGGAATACTTGGCTGCGCATAAACCTACATACTAGTACACCTACAGTCCATTCATTGGAAACTGGCACCCTAACTTTTTGGTGTCACATACTAGTACACCTACATGTATACTTACTACATGTAGATCTCTGCAGTGGCGGTCTGCGTTTCAGGAGACCATGAGACCCGTCCCGTCAACGGCCCTGCTGCTCCGGACCTGCTCAATCCCCATCATCCCTGACAATGTGTCCAAGGTTCAAGGTCCAAGGTGTGTGTGTGTGTGTGTGTGTGTGTGTGTGTGTGTGTGTGTGTGTGTGTGTGTACGTGTGCGCGCGTGTGTGCGTGCGTGTGCTTGCGTACATGCCCTTCCAAAAGAAACGGTGAAGATCTATGCCTGCTGGTGACAAGTGACTAAAGGCCACTAAACTGCACAAGCCCCAAAGACGAGATTTCTGAACAAAATGAGAATTTAACTCGGATACTGAGCCAGCAATAAATGTAAAATAGACGAAAAGCACAATGGAACGTTCGCTGCGCTCACCTTCCCCTCTTCGGTCCTACCTAACCTTGAACCTTCCAAGTTGGAAGGCTGTTGGTTTGCGCACTGGAGATATGTTAGAGCTAGGTCTCAAGTCGTTGAATGTCTCAGTAGCCTGTCAGTTTTGTGCCCTGTTATCACACTTTCTGACCTTGTCACAGTCGTGGATAGTTGCTTTATAACTCGTTCCATTTTGCTTGCCCTCTATTTTACAAAATGAGAATTCGTATCATTTTCCTTCAGTCTCACGTTAGTACCACATGCTTTGAGAAGCCAACATATCGCGATGCAGCCTGATGTGGATCATCTACACATACTTAGGCACAGACACACATGAATTACATCCACACGTACTTACCAACAGGCTAACATCGCCATTGCGAGCATCTCCATTTCTGTCATCTACAACAGTGGGCTCAACACCCAACGCGGACAGCCTAGCAACAAGGTCACTGTGACGCACCATGGCCGCCTTTGATATCAGTGCAACATCACATTTCGACAATGCTACGCTATGACGGTCAAACACTTGTTCTGCTGATGTCATGTCCACGGCTATTGCAACTTCTGAATCATTCGGACATGATGCATATACATCGCGTACCATCTTGAGTCGCTGAACAAGTCTTGTATTGTCAGTTGTTGTGCTATGCGAGTTGGCATCAATGACAAGGAGCTTTCCCTTAGGTGGGAAGTGACGCAGTGCAGACAGTACAGTAGCCGGGGCATGATCATCGCTAGAGTCAGCCAACAGAACACCAGTACGGGGATGGATGAGTGACATGCTACTGCTGCTGCTGCTGTTGAAATGCCGAGCTATGCGAAGTGATCTCAAGGTATGGATCTGTTGTGCAGCTCTTAGCATTGCTCTCCCTCTCTCCAGTTGGAGTAATGATATTGATTGTCTGTGGGAAATACAAAGCATGAAAACAGAACATAAGTAGTGTACCACGACATGATCACTATTGATGTTCAGGGTATCAGACATCAGTACATGTATATCGAATGTATACACACACACACACACACACACACACACACACACACACACACACACACACACACACACACACACACACACACACACACACACACACACACACACACACACACACACACACACACACACACACACACACACACACACACACACACACACACACACACACACACACACACACACACACACACACACACACACACACACACACACACACACACACACACACACACACACACACACACACACACACACACACACACACACACACACACACACACACACACACACACACACACACACACACACACACACACACACACACACACACACACACACACACACACACACACACACACACACACACACACACACACACACACACACACACACACACACACACACACACACACACACACACACACACACACACACACACACACACACACACACACACACACACACACACACACACACACACACACACACACACACACACACACACACACACACACACACACACACACACACACACACACACACACACACACACACACACACACACACACACACACACACACACACACACACACACACACACACACACACACACACACACACACACACACACACACACACACACACACACACACACACACACACACACACACACACACACACACACACACACACACACACACACACACACACACACACACACACACACACACACACACACACACACACACACACACACACACACACACACACACACACACACACACACACACACACACACACACACACACACACACACACACACACACACACACACACACACACACACACACACACACACACACACACACACACACACACACACACACACACACACACACACACACACACACACACACACACACACACACACACACACACACACACACACACACACACACACACACACACACACACACACACACACACACACACACACACACACACACACACACACACACACACACACACACACACACACACACAAATGACACATCAAAATAATGACACTGCAAATGCCAAACCAGCTTTGTTATATTCGAACATTTCGGCACTTGACCATCATCAGGTACAAACAATAATCCTATTCGAGCCGACAAGGAGAAGGTTATATGGAGTGTGTTCCGCCGATGATCTGTCAATTCTCACGCCGAAATACCGGCGCCTATCAAAGTGCAATGTTCGAAGAGCGGCGGCTAAGATCATAGTAAGATGCCTACAGCACAAGTGTACTGTGAATCACTGTGCAATGCACTGTGAAGAAAACAATCAGCAAAGGTGGGTGATCGTGCGAGTGAAAAAGAGAGGTGCCACAGCAGCCTGGCCCAGGCTACTGTCAGCTGATAAGGCCAATTTGCAAATTGCACGAGGCAATTGAGATCCAGAGGTGATATGAGAAAACTGACAGTAGCCTGAGCTAGACTGCTAGTGGTGGCACCTCTCTTTTTCACTTGCATTATCACCCACACCCTTTGCTGATGCCGTTCTTTACAACGCATTGTATAGTGATTCACAGTACACTTGTGGTGTTGGCATCTTAGCTGCCGCTCTTTGTACATTGTACTTTGATAGGCGCCAGACTTTTAGTGTGAGAATTGACAGATCATCGGCGGAACACACTCCACATATTATAAGCTGCCCCTTGCCAGCTTGATAGCATCACTATTTGTATCTCATGATGGCCGAAATGTTCTTATATAACGAAGCTAGTTCGGATTTTCGGTGTCTTTTGGAATGGGAGTGTCCACTTGAGTGTATTCTACATCGTTGAAACTGCAAGAAGATTCAAAACTTCTCATGACATTCTCAATCGTGTGCAATGACATACGGAGAATGCTTCATGCCTTGATATCTGCAGTGTAGATGTGAATACGCTATAAACAGTTGTTCTACATCACGTATTGCTCAAAACATAAATAAAATCAATGTCCATCTAAATATAAACTAGCGTCCAACCTTTTTTTCCTTCCTCTAGATTATTTCAGTTCGTCCATCACCTGCCGAAGTCCACTGGAATGACCCAAGACAAATCTAACTACTGAGTAACAGTTTGCTAGTGAGCGACAGCACGGTCAAATAATTAATTCGAACTAAAGGAGAAGATGTATTCATGGTACATGTAAGTAGATTATCCAATTGTCTTTGGGTCAAATAATTCAAAAATCATGACGTCAAATCTCGTCAACATCACGTGCACATAATTTTCTTTTGGCAGAGATTGCTATTTTGAGTTTGAAGTGAATTCATGAACCTTGATCTTCGTCTTGGTTCGCCATTGCATTGGCATTGGCTTTTCCTATTTCGATGAAGCGCTTGTAATATCATTGTTGACCTCTGGGCATTTATAAAACCGAGCAAATAAGAGTGAAAACTACTTCTTCGTGCATGTAGTGTTAACGTTGTGTGTGGATCTCCTCAATTTCACCATGTTGTCACGTTTGAGGTGGACAGTGTCCTCTGGTCAGCGTTGCACATCTCTAAGGACTCGTCCCAGTGTCTCTGGGCGAATGTATTGTAGTTCTCACGCCGAAGAGCTTCAAAGTGCTGAAGTAGACGATACCAGAAAGAGTTTGGAGAAGGAGGACATTCACAGAAGTGTCCTGGAGCTTGGAAGTACCCCTGTCCCTAAATCTTACGTACTGCCTACAAAAAAGCTTAATTCTGCTCATTGGCTGAAGAAAGAGCTGCATTCAGAACTCCAGAAAGGGCGTACATTTTCTCGTCCCCAAGTCTTACATGTGGTGAAGTGTTACGATAGAGCACTGAGAGAATGTCAAGGTGGCAATACAGATAAGATCCATGTCCTTGGACTGCTCAACAACAACTACGTTCACAATGCAATAGACCGCGGTGGTATCATTCCAGCGGAGGAGTGTTCAGCTTTGGTGAGTGTAGGCAGTAGCATGCATCAAATAATGCAGTGTCTACTTGTATTATCATGTGGCCTCGGAAAAGGCGGTGAAACGGAAATGTGCAATACCAGTATAGGCTAGTTAATGTTGTTTGATACCAGTATGTCATGGCCAATAATCCATGCCAGGACCGCCGGAAGCAGTTTTGGATTGGTCTGGCAGTTTCAGTGCCTTTCATACTTTGCGTATGATATGCCGGGTACACATGGCTTCCATAGTAGTAAACACATATGTACGTGTGTTCGTGGATAAAATGTTGGCCCGGTGATAACCTGACCACCGGACCGGTTCCGGTTGGCCTGCATGCATCTTGACCCCTGCTGCTTCCAGCTATGCATTCTTTTTTTGTTTGGGAAGCAACAGTCTGAAGTCCATGCGAGGTCGATGTCCAATCATCGTGACGGGTGCAGGAGCTCTCTCTCTCTCTCTCTCTCTCGCTCTCTCTCTCTCTCTCTCTCTCTCTCTCTCTCTTTCTCTCTCTTTCTCTCTCTCTCTCTCTCTCTCTCTCTCTCTCTCTCTCTCTCTCTCTCTCTCTCTATCTATCTATCTATCCATCTATTACACAGTGACACGCACACACACACGCACGCACACACACATACACCCACACCCACCCACACCACACACACACACACACCCACACCACACCCACCCACACACACACACACACACACACACACACACACACACACACACACACACACACACACACACACACACACACACACACACACACACACACACGATAGGGTACCCATGCTCCCCGGATAGAAATACTCGGAACTCGTTACCCGGCCAAACCCCTACCCGTTGCAGCCCTAGTATCTACAGTGGGTCTGTGTGTCGTTATTTGTGGACTCCCTGGGCCACTGTGATGTAGCATGTTCGAGCCATATTCATTCATGTGCTTGCCTGATTGTCTTCTCCTTCCCCATGTACTTTCCTTCTTGTCTGTGTACCCAGGTGCCGTCAGTTCGGAGAATCGTGGAGTTTTCTGAAGGGAATATTGAATTCTGGCGAAGATGGCTTCAGTCACTACTGCAGTCTATTGCCACATCCAAGTTCTTGGACAATGTTGAAGATTCCTCCAAATTGGAAGAGTTCCTTGAAGCTCTGGTCATGCAGAGGTCTTGGCCTAGTTTCCAGCCGTTCCTTCAGTAAGAGCCGTTTTGTCCGTGAAGATCTTCATCTGAGGATGAGTGGGCTTGTTTTGAGTTTTGAAACTATGCCTGGATAAAATCTTTGTCAAAACAGTCTCTGATATATAGTTCGGGGTATCAAGCTACACGGCGTGCTGTGTACATGTACTGTTTGTACTTGTAATACCTGGGTGTTATATCGTCAAGAATGTGAGTCATGTCAGGACTTCTACATGTACACGGCATGCTGAGAAATAATGCGCATTTACGTTATTGGCTTTGTATGTGTGTATCTGCCCAGGACTTTGCAACCTGCACTGCCTGTAGTGATGTCTCGTGCAGACGAGGTTCCATCTGATTTACTGATCTCACTGGGCCGCAGTCTGTTTACATCGTTCCAGCAGCAGCAGCAGCACGTTCCACTCTCCCCTTTCGACTCGGCACTTACTCAACCATCTTCTTGCCAACTGCAGCAGGACTACCAAGAGTCGGTGCTTCCAGAGCTGTGTTTCCGAGCCCTAGACTTCTCTCCCGAGCAGGTATGTTTTCTCTAGGAAAATGTTGAATTTTTCATAGTTTTCTTATGATAGTTTTCTGTGGAGATCAATATCAAGACGTGAAATAAATTTCAGTCTGCCAGATGATACAACATGTTTCATACCTAGTGAATTATTCTGTAGTGAGACTACTGCCAGTACTGGGAGACATAATTTCAGTCAACCTTGCGAACAATGACCGTCGATGACGCATGATAAAAGTGTTGTTATCTTTTTTGGGAGTTGTCGTTATTCACAAGGTTGATTGTATGCAGCAGTCAAATAGTTGCTAGGCATGGAGATAATGGTGTTACTGTAATGACGTGCATAGAGGCGCATGTGCCCTTTAACTGCGTATAAGCGCACCCTCACATATAAGCGCATGGGCATGACACGCTGATGCTGCCAGAAGACCATGTTTACATGGTTGAATGTGCAATCTCCACATTCCTTACTGGTGACACAATTACAAGCACATATACCCAACGTAGTTATTTGCGAGGTTGACTATAAATGGTTTAGCCTTGTGTGTTCCGTGCTGATGAAACGAACAGGAGCGGTGAAGAGAAAGCATGTTTTGTTGTGATTGTGAGTGGCTTTCAACGAGTTGCCAAGAGATTTGAGATCATTATCAACAGGGATATTCCCCGCCGAATCTCGTGCGGACAGTACTGCATAAGGCCAGACCAAACAAAACAAAATGCCAGCCCGCATCAAACTACTTTATTTCTTTTTTTCTTCTTTTTCTATGGCCAATGGTTATACGCACCGTGTATACAGTGGATGTGTTGGCAAATGTACTGTGTACTTGTGCCAAGTCTCCTCAGACTGTGTGCATACACAGTAGGTGTACAAGTCGATCGACGTGACAAGTAGCCCCTGGTCTCCTCTCAAGCATTCTTATAGTTGTGCAAGTAACTTAGTTCACCAAAGTGTAAGAAATAGTTGCATTTGTGCCAATCAGGGCCATGGAAGTCATAGTCGACTCTGTTTTATGGCTGGAGAAGACTTCGTTCGTTGAGTGTTGTTCGTTGTGCTCTATATGTCGGCAGGTATGTAGCTTTGTCAAGCTATGGTCCAAGATTGGCTTCACCGTGCCATTTCCTGCCGACGTTGTGAAGTCTCATTTGGATGTATGGCCCGTTGGGCAACCAGAAGATTTAGCAGCTCTGATGGCTACTCTCTCTGTTCTTGTGGAAGGCGGTGGTAATGGCAAGGTATGTGTACTGATCATGGTGTTGTTCCTTGATAACTTGTTCACAGAGGCAGTGCTAAAATCAGAGTTTTAGCACATTCGAACGTACTTTGCAATATTACTAGCTTCGCACACTTGTGTGGCCGATCATACCGCTAGTTGCTTTCTGGTTTCTTTGAAAATTAACTCATCTTTGATATTTGCTCACCCAAAGGACGAAACAGTACTGTTCACAGGCTGGTTTCCTTCTTTGTAATAATAACCAGTGTAGAAGCTGCTTGTGGTGCCTTGATCCTTTCAGAGTGATTGTGTACCTATGTATGCGGACGGTAGTGGTGTACTGGTACCTACAGATGTGGATAGTGGTGTACTGGTACCTACAGATGTGGATAGTGGTGTACTGGTACCTACAGATGTGGATAGTGGTGTACTGGTACCTACAGATGTGGATAGTGGTGTACTGGTACCTACAGATGTGGATAGTGGTGTACTGGTACCTACAGATGTGGATAGTGGTGTACTGGTACCTACAGATGTGGATAGTGGTGTACTGGTACCTACAGATGTGGATAGTGGTGTACTGGTACCTACAGATGTGGATAGTGGTGTACTGGTACCTACAGATGTGGATAGTGGTGTACTGGTACCTACAGATGTGGATAGTGCTGGTGTATGTACACACATACATGTATGTGGAAAACAGTCAGACTTAATCTCACACACCGGTAGGTTTCTATTGATTCATTTTTTTGTATATCGAAGTAATACCATTGTAATGTGCCATATCTTATTTCTTGCTTGCTGTAGTATGGCATTGACGTGAAGGAGCTCCTGAAAACCCATGCAGCTGCACTGAAGAAGCTACCAGGCTCAGTTGCTATGCACTTCAAGAGTACTATTCCGTATTTTCCCTGGGATGCAAAGGTAAGGAGCTGTGCCAGTGTCCCTTGCATCCACTTCCCATGCTCTCTCTCTCGTATAAGAGCCTGGGGTTCTTATTATTTCAGTTACAGATCTACCAGTTCAGAAGTAAGAGTGAGGCTTCTTGCAGTTTCATTTAGAAGAAAGGCATTCGAGCTGACAAGCTCGTTCTCATAACTCTGCAAAACACTGCACATCGTTTTCACATCAATTTTTTATCAATTTTTTATAGCAATGATTCAACATTTCGCCATCTTCCGGTGCTACTGCAAGTATAACATAACGTCCTTTTTTTGCAATGGACCAATATCTAAATGGCAGTAAATGCGTAAATCTTAACGTGTCAGGTTTTTGAAACCTACACTCGAGTACTCAGGGAGATACATAATAATTATTGTCAAAATGTATGTTTCAAGTTACATTGGGCACCAGAAAGGAACCAGTAGATCGTTATTCCTCCTAACAAGCATGTGCTTGTTGGCATGCTGCATTGTTGTTTTTCATGCAGTCAGTGAACTGTTGCATACTTCAATTGTGACCCACACTGCTTAGAGATTGTGCTCGCACACAAGGTCTGTGTGCTCTTTAGAGACTGTGCTCGTATTATTTCTTAAAAGTACGAAAAGAGTCCAGGTCTCCAATAATGACCGGGAGCATGGGTTGTCAGAAAATTGTTGAAATTTAGGCACATACTATAGTAGCAGGTTTCTCGACGATGAAATGGCATGTACCGGTACCTCGCACTGTTGTGATAGCAGCACAGTCCAAGATCAATTGAAGTGAATACGAGCATGTCCGAAAGATGTTATTTGTTGTGTGTCACTTTTTCGTGGTACATGTATAGTTCTTGCATTGGTGTGGTGTTCGATTTTGGTATCTCCTTCCTTGCTGTTGATTAGATACAAATGCTGAGATCTCTTGTGAACTATTCGACTGGTGCTTCTATTCCGACATCTGTGGAGATCCTTCAGCTGCTGTCTGCCTGCAATGTGCATGATAGTTCGGTGAGACAGTTCTTCGGGGTACTGATGTAGTTTCTCAGCTATTGAATGGTTTTAAAAATTTGCTTAACACATTGATAAGACTGTACTGTACTTCATAGTAATATTTTAGATTTAGCATTTATGTGTACATGTCCATCCTCCCCCGCCAGAGTAGCAGGCTCTCATTACAATGTTCGCGTAGGGGCAGTCTAGAGGGTAGCAACAGCTGCCGGAATGGTGCTCAATGCACTGGATACAGAGCCTCAATACACTGGATACAGAGCCTCAATGCACTGGATACAGAGCCTCAATACACTGGATACAGAGCCTCAATGCACTGGATACAGAGCCTCAATGCACTGGATACAGAGCCTCAATGCACTGGATACAGAGCCTCAATACACAGCTGCGTACAATGTCATGGTGCCTACTATGTAGTGTGTAGGACATGAGACGCAGATTAATTAACAAGCCGCTCTGACATGGCTTTGTCTTGCTTGTGTGTATTGGAATACTTTTGACATTTCTCTGCATTTCCGCTGGGAATTCAAAGCTCATAATCTGTATGTAGACTCCGAGTCTGTGATGCTGCATGCATCAGGCATGGTATGGCATGCATCAGGCATGGTATGGCATGCATCAGGCATGGTATGGCATGCATCAGGCATGGTATGGCATGCATCAGGCATGGTATGGCATGCATCAGGCATGGTATGGCATGCATCAGGCATGGTATGGCATGCATCAGGCATGGTATGGCATGCATCAGGCATGGTATGGCATGCTTGCAAAGTTTGGTGTTGTGCCTTGTTTTGTTGTGATTCTACAGCTTTTTGTAGATGTGTTGTCGCTGATTACGTCCGCCAAAGATCCATCGCCAATGAAAGATGCAGGTCACTTGTTGACGATTGCACGCACTGTGCCACATCACGTGGGCCAGCCGCTGCCCAACCGAATCATGTCACCCAAGGTTAGTACTGTGTTGTTTTACTCCTACACGTGGCCGCCGCATTGTCTACAGTCTAGTCATTGTGTGAACAAACTTTGGTGTTCTGGCTGCTTGATAATTATGTGATCTACTGTAGTCTCGGTCTTCTTTGCGTGGCTTATTGTACTTTAAAATGTTGAGTCGTGTTGTTAATTTTTTTGCACTATTTCCGTGTTTCTGCAATCTTGTAATTTCCTTTTTGTTGTTATCCAGGAATGGTCGTTTTGGAACTTCTACCACAAGCATCTACTGGAGAGTACTGTTGTTCGTTTGGAGCATGCAGTGGAAATCTTCAACTGTCTGAAATCCGCATCAGCTGCTTGTGAGTACTGTGTGCACGCAGTTACTGAGTACAATGTGCACGCAGTTACTGAGTACTATGTGCACTCAATCTCTGGACAGGTACAACACAGGTACAACACAGTAGCTGCTGTTTCAATATTGTTATGGCTTATGCCTCTTCAGCGGAACTCAGCATGGCTGGCTGAATTGATTGCAATGAAGGCGGCTGGCCAGTGAGCTGCAAAGCTTCTTTTCTTTAATTGACTGAAAGTGTCATAAGTTAGAGTGCTCCAACGACGAGGAACATAGCCAGCCTTGCACTGCAGCGTAAAACAGATAACTTAGATGCAAACCAGAAAGAGTGCTCAACCAAGACAAGACGAGATGAGAGAGAGAGAGAGAGAGAGAGAGAGAGAGAGAGTGCATGTGTTTTACTGTTATGTTCAATACCGAGGTTTTGTGTTTGTGTGTTATCCTTTATCCATACCAGACAAACTGGTGACTGTATGTGGCATTAAGCGGGCCTCGGTTTTCGACAAGGAAGCTGAGGAGAGGGTCTATGAGGCAACCAGTCATGCCTTGGTTGAGATCTTTACCACTTACCCTCCGCATTGGACGCAGAGGCAAAGCTTGGCAATGGAAAAGCTCTTTTCGAAAACGGTTGCGAAGATTGTGCACGACATCTTCAGGCGAGGTCTCGCGCTGCCGCATTGCTGCCTCGATCTTGTTAATCTTCATGAGAAAGTTGATAAGGTAAAGTTTACCTCACACTTTAAATCGTGTGCTTTGACTTGGTGCTTAGAATACTCGTAGGAGGTATCCATGTAGAATTTGATTATCCTGAACCTCCATCGATATGTGTTGTATTATAAATACAAGTAGTTCTTTAAAGTACCAGGAGTTGGTGTATCTTGCTGTCCTCTCCATATCCTTCATGGTATTCTGCATGCCATTGTCCTGCAAGTGGCGCATACTGTAGTGTCGCGTATAAAAGCATGACCTGTATAGAAGCATGACTCGAATAGAAGCCGATTTTTCGAAGCCCGTCGGGACACAGAAGCACGATTTGAATAGAAGCCGATCTCTGCAAGGTACGCATGCAAGTGTGTGTGTGGCAGTATGTACTGCACAGTTTAGACTGATGATGTTGACGTAGAAGCATGTTTTGAATAGAAGCAAAACTTGAATACAAGCATGGTTTGAACCCCGGCTTATACGGCCGTAAGCAACTGCTTTTATACGCGGCATTACGGTACTTCAAGTGGTTGTGTGATCATGTGTAGGCATGTGTGTGTGGACAGTCTGAGGGTCTGATGCTCGCTAGCTTATTCTGCCTCGCTTCGTTTGCTGTTGTTATCGCTAGACAAACGTGTTCGGTGTACCACATGAGGTGCTGCATCTTATCCATGCCGTTGTTGGAGACATGCCACTGAGAAGAGTTTTGGACTTGTTACGCTTGACTGCTGATATCAAAAAGGTATTTACTCTATGTCTTACTTGTCTTCTCTCCTGCTTTTATCCGTATTCATCAGACACAGGGTGCATTTCTTTACACGTTCTTGACCCAGGTTTGGAATTGTCAATGGCCAGGATGAGCGGATTGCGGCCATGTAAACGAACAGCTGGAATCTATCTATACTCATGATCGCTCTCTAGAACCATGGAAAGATGTCACGTGTACAACCAAGAGTACATAACCCCCAGAGTGTGCAGCGCCTGATCCAGCTCTGCATAGGGTCTTGGTCGAGCGTAATCGGATCTTTGCGTCATAATACCGTACACATCTGAGGGGAACCCGGGGAGTCGCGGGTACTCTAGGATCAAAAACAATGGTGCCCTGCCTCGAGACCGGCCTTGTGCTGGTGTGGAGTGTACGCATGACATCAGAAGATCCGATTACGCTCGACCAAGACCCTATGCAGAGTTGGATCAGGTGTTGCACACTCTGGGGATTATGTACTCTTGGTACAACTCTTTGTGCAAATCAGTAGTAAAACGTTACATGCAGCAGGCATGCGTGGTGTCAAGAAAGCGTAGACCAAAATTTAATGTGTATATCCCGGTGGGAGAATTAAGAATATTCGTAAGTCTGAGTGACTAAAAAGGAGGATTAGAACTTAGAAGGTCCGTCTTCACCTTGGAATGGGGCAGAATTAGATTCTGTGGATTCCGGTGCAGAAATTGGTGTAATTGAACGGTGTGTGCATTCTAGATGGATGGAATTGTGTGTATTGGAACGTGCCCGTAGTCACTGCATCTTTGTCCATCCTGTGCTTACTGTGAGTAATTCAGGATTGTGTTGAACGAGGCGTGGATATTTGCCTGGAGCGGGCCAGTAAGAAATGAGCTGTATCACATGCTGTTGTTGTGTGTCTGCAGCAAACGAAGTATGTCTTCCTTCCCGACATTCTGGAAGAGATCGGAAAGCGTATTGTGGCCTTGTCGACATATGAGTATGTATCAGCTCACCACTGTACTAGTCTCCTGAGCGAAGTGTATGTGCTGAGCCAGGCCGCTCATGACAGCAGTGCCGCCTCGAATCAATGCCAACCCTCGGATCAGCAGTCTCATGTGCCAGCGCCAGCAACGCCTGCATCAGCCGGTGCCAGTCCACTGCTGCGCACTGTGTATGCGCGCATGTGGCCGAAACTGGAGGCTGCACGAAGAAGAGATCTGTTCAGCTTGGAGGAGCACGCTGCTGTCTTGGCCAACGCTTGGCAGAATGATATACCCGCTGAACAAAGCCAGACGGTGAGTGTAGTAGTTCTATGGAAAGAATTATTACTGTAAGCATGTCAGTGAGCTAAGCTGCGGTGGTATAGTGTGTGTTACACAGGGCAGCAATTACACTTGATTAGTACAATGGTGTAGTAATTTGTATTGCACATCTACAGTTGTGGCAAGTGAAATCCGACACTTGCCATAGGGGACAGCGCCACAAATGGACATCAATGATGTAATGCACTGCACCTAATTTGTACTATAGAGCCGTATGCATCCCAAACAGATTGAAAGATCACAGCGTAGATACACACGGTTCACAAATATGGTACACATGAGGAGTATTGGTATCCAATCCCCATTCATTTTTGCCAGCACCTTAACCTTTTGAACCTTGACTGTGATGAGTACGAATTTTGTCATCAGACAGATAAAGTTGTATGTAACACATGTACTGTACGTATGCAGGGCTGCAGACTGCATGGTGCAGTCCCTTATGCCAAGTGTTGGATTTCACTTGCCACAACTGTACTAGTTCTGCTCACTGTACAATGCTGGGCAACATGCAGAAAAAGATTTACGAGCTAGACGTGTAGGCTTGTGTGTCTTCATGTAACCATAGCACACACATGTGTAGGGCATGGCAGGGCTGGACAGGGCAGGGCAGGGCTATAAGGCAGGGCAGGGCAGGGCTGGGCAGGACAGAGCAGGGCAGGGCTGGGCAGGACAGAGCAGGGCAGGGCTGCAGTGCACCCAAGTGCACCCAGCGTTGCTCTTTCCCTCAATCCAGATTTCATTGAACAGCACTGTACAGCTCCATTTTATAGACTATATACGGATCTGCACGTGGAGTCAGGTACTTGTACATATTTTAAAATGAGATCCTGGATGTGAGATCCTGGATGTGTACACTATATACTCAGGCTGCGTTTACACGGAGACGAAACGAAACGAAACGGAACGAAACGGAACGAAAACGGGCTGGCCTTGAATCGTTTTCAAACCGTTTACACGAGAACGGCAAATCGTTTTGAACCGTTCACACGAAAACGGAAAACGGGCGAGCAGGCTGGAGTTAGTACGTGCTGGCTTGGCGCAAGGGCGGGAAGTAACACGTTAGTTGGAGTTGGTACGCGCTGGTGGTCGCCAAGGTCAGGTATTTCCCGCGAAATATAGTCCCGCGCGGAATGGTTCCCATGACCGCGCTCCGTTTCCAATCGTTTTCACTGTTTTCACCGTTTACACGAGAACGAAAACGTTTTGAAAACGTTTTGAAAACGTTTCAAAACACTTTGAAGTGCGTTTCCATTTCGTTCCGTTTAGGTATCGTTTTCGGGCGTTGTCGTGTAAACGATAGTAGTTAACGCAACGATTTCGTTCCGTTTAGGTCCTACTTCGTTGTCGTGTAAACGCAAATCGTTTTCAATCGTTGTCGTGTAAACGCAGCCTAAGTAACCTGTAGCTGCTCGTGTTCAACGTCTGATAAAGTTGCATTTGTGGCGATTTCCTGGCCTTATTTGCACAGATTTTACTGAGGCTGCTGATAAACTATGCCAGCTTGAGAGCACCAACTCCAAGTGATCAAGAGCTGGTTTTGGAAGCATTGACATCCTATACCTCCTGTGGAAGGTTTAGATGTGTGGAAGTGCCCACAGAGCCCCACTGGCAACAGTGGCATGAGACCCTGGGTTCTGCAGTCACGTCCCTTCTCCAAGCTGTGGAACGTCTCGATGATCATGATGGCAAAGGAGTGCAGTACCGTGAGACCTTGGCGCTCATCTGTGCACATGTAAGTGTGATGCTGCCTGTACACTGCGCAAGTCTGCAGCAGTGCTGCTGCTGTCCACTTTTGAAAACTCTTTCCTCCTCTCTCTCTCTCTCTCTCTCTCTCTCTCTCTCTCTCTCTCTCTCTCTCTCTCTCTCTCTCTCTCTCTCTCTCTTCCCGTTTTGTCTGTACACGAATACAAGTAAACAACCTGTGATGTGATTGTAACTATATTCTTCAGTGCCATTAAATATCCATAGATCTAGCCCTCATGTTCTCTCTGTCGCTAAATGTCAACTCAAAGGTTCTTCTGCTAATGTGGACTAGAATATGTACAGGAAAGGCAACTATGGACTTAGTATATTCAAGTATGTTGCTCCTTCCAGTCTAAAGAGTAACCATGGGGCATAGAAATCAGCATTATGGTGGACAAGGACAGTGTGACGAACCGCTTTCAACTTGCCACATGAGCAAAAAAAGTGCCGCTTGCACACTTCCATGCAATACCTCTGCACATACGTGCATGTGTGTGTGTGTGTGTGTGTGCGTGCGTGCGTGCGTGCGTGCGTGCGTGCGTGCGTGCGTGTGTGTGCATGTGTGTGTATGTGTGTGTGCGCGCGCGTGCGTGCGTGCGTACATGTGTGTGTGTATGTGTGTGTGTGTGTGTGTATGCGCGTGTGTGTGTGTGTGTGTGTGTGTGTGTGTGTGTGTGTGTGTGTGTGTGTGTGTGTGTGTGTGTGTGTGTGTGTGTGTGTGTGTGTGTGTGTGTGTGTGTGTGTGTGTAGCAGACCCTGTTTTATGTGCCAAGCGAAGCTCCGAACCATGAATGCTTTGTATTCAAATCTTCTTGTCCAGTGCCCGTGTCCTAAACCTCTCTTTATTGTCCCTTTACTCGAATCTCTGGCCCGTATGCTGTGCCTGGTTTTGTTTTCGATCCAGCTTGGAATATCTGGTCCTAAGTTGGAGGAGTTGCTACTGTCACAGGCTCTGTGCGATGCATCGCCCAAGGTACCATTGATAACTCATTGATAACTCATTGCTAAGTCCACCACATTGCTACTGTTGCCGCTGGCCTGTTTTTTTTGATATCGCCTTGCATCCTCTGTAGTTGAACTTTGGGATTAGCAGCTGCTCATTCATACAGTGTGGGGGAAATGACTCTAACAGCTATTCTTGCGTAAGGACACTAATAATTTTGTGTTTTTGCAGTCATTTCCCCCACCCTGTATGAATGAGCAGCTGCTAATCCCAAAGTTCAACTACAGAGGATGCAAGGCGATATCAAAAAACATTTTGCAGATACAAGTTTTGTCTGGTGTGTGGCCCCGCTTTTCTTGCCATGAGCGCTTACGGTGGTTGTTCCGTATGTGTGTATGCGTGCGCGCGCGCGCGCGTGTGTGTGTGTGTGTGTGTGTGTGTGTGTGTGTGTGTGTGTGCCTGCACTACTTTGTGCTACAGAGCGTTCCAGTACTGGCTGTCGGTAGAAATTCAATGCCAGTGCTGTGGAACTTTACCGATGGTGTTGCCAAGCTCCCACCGTCGTTGATGGATATCGTCAAGCATTGCCACTTAGCGCATGATTTCTTTACTGATGGGTCAGTCATATAGAGTAGCCCTAAGACTGTACTGCATTGCACTCATATCATACAGGGCATTTGTTGACATTCGTTTCAGGAACCATAGGAACTTCTGTTTGTGTTGAACAGTTCTGATTTGTTGTGATTGTGTGTATTTGCTACTAGCTACCGGGCGCCACTCTCTGTGTGCATCGTGTTTTGAAATAGCTGCACTTGTAAGTGTACTGCTGTGGACATTGCCCATCATCTGTGTGTTCTCTCTCGTAGCTCACCCTACATGCGCACTGCATTGCAAGGACTCGCCACACCGCTTATCGCCGTTCTAGATCGCGTACATGATGGTTACATGCACGACTGCGGCTCAGATTTACTGGATGTGGCCATGGCGAAAACGTTTGAACATTTAGTGCCAGTGTGGAAAGAGCATTTCAGGTAGGGATATTTCATGTTCCATCATGCTTGCTGCTGTCGTTATTATCTTCTCTTCTAGGATTTGACAAATGTTGAACGTAATAAAGTAGACTGCTTCTTCTGAGCCGCACAAATGCAAGCTGCCAGTCGAAAGTGCTAGTGCCAGTGAGTGCTTCTCTGCGTGAACGGACCACAACATCAAGAATACGGATCAAGGTCATGTGACAATCGCCTGCACTGGGTACGCTGGTGTTTCAGTGGATCTATTTTGGCCTGCTCTCCTGATGCTCTGCTTGTAAGAGCATCTATCCGAGCACAACCTTTCTGACTCACTGTGCAGGACTGTCTGTCAGAACACAAAGTTAACTTGATGCGTCTGTCGTCTGAACAAGGTGCGCTTTTGAAGATGACTCCAAATGTTCAATTGTTGTTGCTGTTCTGTTTGTGTTTCAGTGGTCTGTTTGAGGACTTGAATTTGCTTGACCTCTGTGCCCTGCTCAAGTTGCTTCGCTTGTCCAGCCTCAGCCCGTAAGTATGGCTTGATGGTGTCATTTAGTTCGCCTGTGTATATCTGTATCTGTGTGCACCTATGCATGTGTGCCTCTGTGTGCATGTATGCGTGTGGGTGTGGGCCGGTGTGCGTGTATGCCTGTGTGTGGGCGGGGGGAGGGGTGTATGTGAGACAGAGACAGAGGTGCAAGACAGAAATACAAGAGAGAGAGAGAGAGAGAGAGAGAGAGAGAGAGAGAGAGAGAGAGAGAGAGAGAGAGAGAGAGAGAGAGAGAGAGAGAGAGAGAGAGAGAGAGAGAGAGAGAGAGAGAGAGAGAGAGAGAGAGAGAGAGAGAGAGAGAGAGAGAGAGAGAGAGGAGAAGATTTAACAGCACACAATGTATTTGATGTGTTTGTGTGTGCCTGTGTTTACAGTGACCGTCTGCCTGTATATCACAAGATACTCAGTTCTGCCGTGTGCTTTCACCATGATCAACTTGGACAAATGAACTCTCAGGCCATGGGGCATGTTCTGTCGGAGATGTGTGCAAGTGAAGTCTGCTACCCAGCTGTTGTGTAAGGCTAGTCACTAATCTGCAGAGCTGTCTAAAACCCGTTGAGACCTGGACAATCAAATTGGACGAAGTGTGTCATGTTTTACCTAGTGTAGCTTCATGACATATTTGCCGATATTTTCAAGCAGAAATATCTAGACCCACAACTGGAGTGACTCAGCTGTTGTCTCAAGCTGCTCTGACCTCTCTATGCACTCATGTTCTGAAACAGTAGGGATAGTCCTCTGCCCACACTTGTACCATTCAGAATTAGAAAATTTAGAATCTGACTAAGGTTTAGTAATCATCATAGTCATGTTCACATACAGGATTGTAGATTATTGTAACATGATGTGAAGTGTGACAGACTCACAGACTCACAGACTCACAGACTCACAGTGGCACACCTAGCACCTGTACAGTATTTGTACTGCAGTCTGCAGTTGTCCAGTTCCACAGTATCAGTACCTGCACTGTATTGCCAACTACCGAAGCACATGGTGTGTGACTGGGAAGCTTTAAAAAAAAATTTAAATCTTTATCTCTGTTGGCACTGCTGCTTGTTGTTTTCATATGGTTTGCAGGCAGAAGGTAGCTCCGAAGCTGATCTGGATGCTGCATAACGGCGGCCCATCTCTTGTTACCTTGCCGCTTATCAACAGTATTCTCACGTACATGAAGTAAGCACAGCTACTGTCCTGCATCTGACGTACATACACAGTAATTACTCGTTCACACACGACTTGCGTTTTGCAGTGTGAGCTTGGAGAGCACACTCGTAGAATGTGATGTACCAGTAATGCTGGGCGAGACACGATGCGATGATGCTCGTTCCCAGGCAGCTACTACGTACACAATAGCGTAGTGTCATAATCAGTGCAGCATTTTGATTTCTGCAAGTCACTTCACCAATACTGTAAATATACAAATTTTCGGCAGCTATTTAATTTCGGCTAAATTCGGCACCGACCCATAACGCCTAAATTAAAACGCCGATGAAAATTTTCACAGCATCTGTCGCACTATACCGTGCCCTCTACCCCACGCCGAAAATAAATCGCCGCCGAAATGTCAAAAATCGTGAAGTGCCGAAATTTTGCAGCGCCGAAATTTTGTATATTTACAGTAGTGTGGAAAAGTCTCACTAAAATACATGCTGCACAACATGATTGCTGGGTCAATGTTTACCCACCAATTGCCACACACACCTACTCTAACTCTGGTTCACAAACCCTACTCTAACTCTGGTTCACAAATCTACCCTAACACTGGTTCTATTTCACCCAGAAGTGGTGATTTTATTACTACCAGCCGTGCTTAGCATCCTCACGCTCGAGCCTTGTTAGATGGTGGTCTTGCAGCATGTTGTTGCTGCTGTTCATATTCTTGTAACCTTGTTGTTATCATTGTTGTCGTTGTCACTGCTGTGTTTGTATAGAACCGCAAATATCCAGGATGAATCTGCTCTGGTACAAGCAAGGCTCTGTGTCTCTAGCTTGGTGGAAGGAAACCTTGGCTACTTGCAGGAGGCATCGCCAATGACTACACATCTTGCTGGTGGGTTCCAGATCTCTGTGTATGTGTGTGTGTGTGTGTGTGTGTGTGTGTGTGTGTGTGTGTGTGTGTGTGTGTGTGTGTGTGTGTGTGTGTGTGTGTGCGCGCGCGCGCGCGCGCGTGCATGCGTGTGTGTGTGTGTGTGTGCGTGTGTTTGCATGCATGTGTGTACACGCGTATGGGTGGTGGGTTGAATCCAGCTTGAAACTGAAGTGGGGAAGCTGGGTCACGTTGTGCATGAGTGTACTTGAGCGTCTGTTCCACATGTCGGGTACGGTCAGACAGGGAAAAATAGCCATTGTATGTGTGTGTGTGCGTGCATGTGTGTGTGTGTGCGTGTGTGTGTGTGTTTACTGTGATATACAGAATGTAGCTTCCTCTTGGCCCAGCACGGTGTACCGTATAAGGCCGACCCGAACGTGCTGCACCAGCTGCACACACTACCTCGCGTATCACTGATTGTTAGCAGTCTCCTCAACGCCCAGTCATGCCATACCATCTCCTATGACAAGTCTGTGCAGATGTTGCATGACTTGGAAATCTATGATAAGGACGGTTAGTACAGTCATGTTCAGCTGTTGTGTGATTGTCGTGTTCTTTGAGTAGTTGCTACTGTTGTATCTGGTCGACCCCGGGTTTCGACCCCAAGACGCGGCAGACATGAATTACCTTACAGTTATTCCACTTACTTCGGACTTGCAGTGGTGGCCACTAATACATGTCACGTTGGAGACCTCTCCATAGGCAGATCCTTGTATTCGTATATATTCATAGGCAGATCCTTGTATTCGTACAAGTACATATTCAGACCTACTTCTACTCTACATACACACGTATCCCCCCAGAACTTCGCAATCTCACAGCTGCAGCAAACCCCGCAAGTTTTCAACCTTTGTCGCAAGTTCTTCATGAAATCGTCATAATAATAATAATAATAATAATACGAAGTAGTGGTTGCGACTTCGGCGATGATTTGTAAGAAAGGTTTGCTCCCCACACCGGAGCTCGCGCTATTCCGCCGACTTTACTTGACACTTGACTGACTCACGACTGCCATCCAGAGCACACGAGAAGTCCATCGAACCTTCGACTCGGCAAACCTGCAAGAAAGCACCACTCCCTGCTCAATACACAGTGTTTCGGGGAATTCACCCCTCATCAGTTGAGCTTGAGTAGGCTGAGGAAGATTGTGCCTGAAGAGCACCACTTATATAGTGCTCTCCAGGCACAAACATCACCAGGGATACAAACTTACAGAGACGCTCCGCTTCCAGCGCGACAAACACCTCGTGAACACCAGATAGTAGCGTGAGTCAGTGTCGCTCCTGGACGGTGAGACAGACGTCGAGGACCCTCGGTCATTCGCAACGCTGTCACCTCCAAACCAACTAGTCGCAAGCCCGCGCTGGGCACAACAGTACGAAGTAGTGGTTGCGACTTCGGCGATGATTTGTAAGAAAGGTTTGCTCCCCACACCGGAGCTCGCGCTATTCCGCCGATTTTACTTGACACTTGACTGACTCACGACTGCCATCCAGAGCACACGAGAAGTCCATCGAACCTTCGACTCGGCAAACCTGCAAGAAAGCACCACTCCCTGCTCAATACACAGTGTTTCAGGGAATTCACCCCTCATCAGTTGAGCTTGAGTAGGCTGAGGAAGATTGTGCCTGAAGAGCACCACTTATATAGTGCTCTCCAGGCACAAACAT